CCTGTCCTGGGAAGAAAGCAGGCCTCGGGAACCACCAGGAGAGACGGAGAGAGACTCAGAGGCAGAGCTGAGAGCGCCTGAGCAAAGGGGGACGTGCAGGGAAGAAAGCAGTGGGTACAGGAAGAAGGGGGCAGGGGACAGGGAGAGAGGGGGGCCCCAGGGGGAGGGTCCTAGGAAAGGAGAGGACAGGAAAGGGCCAGGCGTGGAGGGCGGGGAAGAGCAGTCACATGGGAGCCCCGGCGCTCACAGGCCTCCGCTGCCCCCTGCAGGCCAGTCCCTGCCACAGCGGTGCCAGCCACAGCCAGGCTGCTGCCGTCCCTAAGAGTTCTGGCGGCCCCACCCGGCCCTCACCTGCTCCTCGTGGTTCTGGAAGGGGATCACCAGCACCACGTCACCAGCCTTGAGCTGCAGCTCGTCGGTGGCGGTGGCGGTGTAGCCGTGCTGGGCCTGCACCTGCGGAGGATGCGGACAGCAAGTCAGACCTTCCCTCCACGTCCAACCCTGCACAGAGGCGGGCCTCGCGGGTGCGAGGTCAGGTGGCAACGTGGAGGCCAGGAGTACTGGAAATCAGCAGGACACGATGGGGCTCAGATGCCACCGCCTGGGAGTGACCTAGTAGCGCCGGCACGACTTTGGGCAAACCACAGAGACTCCTGGGGCTCAGGGTCCTCATCTGCCCACCAGGGCACAGAGGGCCCACAGCAGTCAGAGGCTGGGCTTACCTTGAACATGAAACCTGGGGGTAGGTCCAGGCACCCAGCCCCACTGCTACCCTCCACGGTGCCATCCACAGTTGCCGGGAAGGTCTCCACCACGACGGCAGGAAGAGAGCTCTGGGGACAGAAGCATGGGTCAGCTGGGCAGGGAGGTGGTCCAGAGACAGCCAGGGCCACCGAGGAGAAGAGGGACGGGGACGGGAGAAAGGTGTCTGTGCCTGGTGCCAGACCGACGCGCCTCCCGCTTCCTCGACAGGAGCCAGGCCTGGACCAGCACCAGCAGGGGGCACAGGGGAGCCCCGGGCTGGCGGGAGGGTGGCAGGGAGGAAAAGGCAGGGCTTTGTCCCTGCTGTCTTATGGAGGCTGCTTCACTTGCCGCCGTCTCCCCAGGCTCCTGGGCTCCAGCCGCAGGTTGGGTCCCAACTGCCACCGCCAAGGCCTCTGCTGGCTGCAACATAAATGCCGGCCTGGGGTCAGACAAGACACAACCAGGACACAGGAAACAGGCCACAGGAGGGCAGCACCCAAGTGACAGGGCCGCGGGCATTGCCTGGCTGGCAGCAGGGTGAGAGCTGGCCAGTACCTCGAAGAATCCAGGTAGCTACCCCTGCTGGACAGGCTGGGCCCTGGGCCCGGGAAGCAGCTGAAGAGTAGGCGCTGGCAGGCTGGCAGGCCCCGGGATGTGAGTGACATGCTGTGGAGAAGCCCAGCACAGACCCTGGAGTGCCATCACCAAACCTGCCTCATAGGTCCTGCCCTCTCCGCACCAAGACCTCGCCCAGCCACAGCCTCCGCCCGCCCACCCCGCTTGGCCCGGCACATGGCAGGAACTTGAGGAACATGTAGACGGTCCGTGCCAGGGGACAGCAGCACATGCCTGTCCCAGCCTAAGCACAACCCAGGGC